AAGATTATGGTCATTTAATACCATCAAACTGTGATGTAATGGTTGTACATATATATATATTCATGACAAAAACAAGTGAATACCAAGTGAACCTTGTGATTTGTGTCTGTGCACGTCAACACATTTAACATTCGTCTCTCAGTTACTTGACACTTGTATTTTGTTTTGGCGCTCGTTCCAGTTTTCTGATGCAGTACGGTTTGGCATCATTGTGTAACAAGGTCAGTGGGATCAGCTGCTTTCAGACAAGCGATGATATTTTCCAGATATCTTCCTGAACTCTACCAGAGTGGGAGGACACAAATGTTCCAGTCAGTTTCTCCAGATATTTTCCAGAACTAGTAAAAACCCAATTTTCCGGACTTTTTCCCGGGTTCATGTCTGAAGGCAGCTAAACCGAATTGTAAAAAACGTTATGCACATCATCTGCATCAACACGGCAACAACACAATCATGTTGCTTTGTCCCTTGAACATCGCTGAGAAGGTTTTGGAGTTGTTTTATATCTCACTTCCAGGATTTGCAGGCAGTTGTTGTTACAGATAGTGACCCGGCCGGGCTGGGTGGAGGCCCACTGTACATTATTGATCTCTCCCTCAGCCGTATAGGCCAGTATAGGGTCCTCGATGGCCCCAGGCATCAGCTGGATGTCCCAGATTGGTGGTCATCCGCTAAACGGAGATGAGGGGATGAGGTTTGATTTGAATCGATTTATCTTGTTTGGACAGGAAGAAAAACATGTTGCCAAACACCACATGCTCCTGGCCTGATTCTGCTTGAGAACCGTTTTTCACCAGGTTTCTTTCGTCCATCAGGACAGAAAAACACCAAACAAGATGAGAGGAAACACAAAAACGTAGTGTCTGGTATTGTTCCACAGGAGCAACGCACTGATTGTAAGTTCGTATTGTGTATGAGACTGTGTTGTGTAGTTGCTTTGGACAAACTTATCTTGGTGAATGAGATGAACTTGCAGACATCAAAGCTTCTTCTCTCCAGTTCCGGCTCAGTTTTACTTTTCAGCTTTGATGACGACAAACCTGTGTTGAGATGGGTTCACATGTGTGGAGCAAGAAGGACGTCCTCTTGTGGTCAATGTCAGCAGCTGCAAAAATGCAAACTTGTGCAGAGCTGATGTCTCTGGAGAGAACATGTTTTTCCAACCACTATCAACAGCAACAACAACAGTTTGCAAATTTACACAACATTTACATCACCTCCGAGAAGCTGAGGTTTGATGTATATTTGAGGGCGTGGATTATTTTCCACGATCATCACTAAAACTCATATTCCCTCCTCCTCATTTAAGCCATGTTTTTAATATAATGATATTTTATTATTTGGACATTCATGGTCCTAGATGATACATTCTTAGACGGTTTCGACAGAAATGAAAGTTTTGGCTTGTACCCTGATTTTTGATTAGACTGACAGAGCGTAGATTAAACAAATACTTGGAAAAATGACAAATTACAATATAAAGCACAGGTAGAGGAGCAACACCATCATCAATACACAAGTCAAATGACAGAGGTCGCAAACTCAGAGTGGACAACATCCTCCAACACTTGGACCCACTGTTTTGTTTGGTTAGTAGTTCTGTCTTGATCTGCCCTCACCTCAGAGGAGATCAGCTGATGGTGCAGTGTAAACACACAAACGACCAGTAAACCATCATTGTGCTCTGTGGGTCTGCTCGTTTCCATAGAGGCTCTAGCAAAACGACCACTGACACATTTCACTGATGCCTCAACACAAACGTGTGCAGCAGCTTCCAAAAGAGGTTTCACACTCTCACCAAGGCAACAAGTCACAGGAGTCTGCAGCTCAAAGGCCTCATTGAAAGGTAGAGTCTCATCGATTTCAAACTGATAAACTCAACTCGACGGGATTACTGTTTTTTTGTAGATTCTTGTTTGTCAGAAATGTATTTTTCATGCTCTAAACCACGACCTCTGTGTGTCTCAGGTGTTGAACTCTCCTGCTCGGCCCAGTCATGATGCTTCGAACTTACTTTGGTTCCATGCATCCGTCCAACACCTCTGTCTTAACCTTCACTGACTATCTGTCGTGTTTAGGTTATGAGGGGGGCAAGTACATATGGGCCGTTTGCACTTGGCTGATCTTTGCTGTTGGTTTTCCTGCATCCGTTGCGATCCTGTGGGAGATGTTTCAGACTCGCAGGAGAGGAAGACCCATCTCACCTAATGATTTTTTCGTCCTCAACCTCACCGCCATGGATGCTGTCTTCTTAGCCTTCATCCCACCTGGAATGATAAATCACTTCATATTTTGCAATGTGTGGTTCGAAAATGTCTGGAGCGGTGTTTATATGTTGAACATGTGGGGGAGACCCCTGCTGATGGCGTGCGTGTGTCTGGACTGTTACCTGGCTGTGCTTCATCCAATCACCTATCGTAACAGAAAGAGTCTGATGCCCCGGGTTGTGATGGCCGCCATCGTCTGGACTTTGACCGTTGCCTCTGCGATTGTAACCATTACTCATCCCAATATATTTCTAACCATGTTTGTCATTGGGCCATTTATTGTAGCCATTGTAATAATTGGCCTGTGTGATTATTTCATCCTTCACACTTTAATCAAGTCGGAACAAGGCAAGAAAAACATCCACCCACAGAAGCAAAGAGCCGTTCAGACCCTGATCAACAGCCTGGTCATAACTCTCATCTCGTACCTTCCTCCAGTGCTCATGTATGCACTTGGCCTTTCTCTCATCAACGACCCTGTAATCTTACTGTGTAGCGTCTCTATTCCGGCCACCATTACTTCCTCTCTGGGATCTGCTGTCATGCCTCTTCTCTACCTGCATAACCTTGGGAAACTGGATCGTTTCAGGTGTGGATGTTGCGGGAAAACTTAATTTATCTCGTCTCATTTCTGCTTCACCTTCCTGCCAAATCAGGCCGAGGTACAAGTTGTTCATGCTTTTTGTCCCATAGTGATTTGTTTTTATGTTATTTCCTGTTATGTTGTTCTCATATGTTGTTTCTCTAATCACACTGGAGGGAACTGCTATCTATCCATCTATCTCTCTCTCTATCTATCTGTCCATTCATCTTTATGGTTGTTTCAATATATCGGCCTTGTGATACACTGGAAATGCAGCATAGATAATGGATGGAAACATGGTTGTACGTTTTGCATATGTAGTTTGCGTCTTCATCACTAGGTGGCAGGATTGTTGTTTGCAGTAACCTTCATTGACTCCTGTCTGACTTTTCATATTTTTCTAGCTCATCATACGATTCATAACAAACACACCGAACATTCATAACCAGACAGGAATCTTTGATGGTTAATGACTAATTTGAATCATATCGTCTTGATAGAATCTGTTCAAACAGTCATGGACTTATTTTGTATATCCTGCCTCAGTGTAGATCTCAGGGTTTAGTTCAATTTATACATTTATATATGCACAAAATAAAATCCAGCATCAGAATACGTCGAAGGTTTAAATGTTTTATGTTTTGAAAACACACAGTCTGCAAACAATTCCATATAAAAACGACCATTTCTTCATAAAATATGTTCTTATGTATTTACCCCCTCCACATTAGAGCAACTTGTGACAAAGTTCAACGTATTTAATCAAATTAGCTACCAGAGTGATTGTTTTTATTGATATATACACTGTATTCATATGATACACATTTACAGGATGGGACTTACTGACCAAACGAGTAGGAAAGGATGCGTTATTAAACTCCCAATAAAACGGTTATTATTCATGTCCTGTCACAATCACGTAAACTGTGAAAGATTAAAAAATACAATATTCACATGAAAAGTAAAAAAAGATAAAATTTTTCTTCAAAATGTAAGTTAGAGATATTTCATTTTATTTAAACCTTCAGCACACTCCTGTTCTTTAAACTGGCTCTTTTTTCCTCTCTGGATAAAAACATTTTTGATCGTTAACAAACTCACGACAATAACCGTGTGTGTTTCCTCCTTCCTTGTGTCACTGTGACACAATTTAACACCATCAGCATCCGTCAGCTTTTTTGATATTCAGCTAATTCCAATCAAAAGCTGATGAGTTTAACAGGGACACTGAAAAAGTTTCCATAACCACGTGGTCCGAAGGTTCTGTACCGGTTTTAGTACGAGTGAATGGTTACCTCTGCCAAGGAGGTTATGTTTTCATTATTGGATTTGTAATAGTCCAGGAACAACTTGATCCATTTTGGCACAGATCCGGACAAAAGAGCAGATCCAGAAATTTCTTTTATTGCAAGGTAGGGATTATTTTATTATATATTTCCCACACTGATATCTATGAGTGTGAGCAATCTGGTGCAGCTTAATTGAGTTTAAGGGGACTACTGGGCCTTGGCAGAGTTATACGCTCGACTGAGTGCCATTATATTGAATCTGAAATGGCACTTAATGGAGCACATACCTCCACCAAGGCCCAACAGTGCCCTTATGAAACCACAGATTTTCATTTGGATCTGCACCAAATTACACACACTCATAAATATTAGTCCCCTTAACATGACCGTTTATTTTTGTCATGATCCATGAATTATATATCAACATAACCTCTGTGGCAGAGGTCATATCAGTAAACGAACAAGACCGACTAACATACAGTATAAAGGCGGACTGATCGGCCCCTTGTCTGTCTGAGAGTTTCCTTAACGATGTGCAGACGACCTCTAAAACGAACAAGTCATACAAAAGTGACACTACAGTGTAAACACACACACTTTAACTGCGGCTGCTTTCAAGCTTTGTGTCGTGGTCTCATCATTTCCAAGTTAGGGAGAGAACATCTGCGAGCTGTTGTTACCACCCTGTGAAAACCTTGTTTTTCCAGCAGAGGGGAATTGAGGATTTTTACTGGCGCTACTGGGTCATGGTGTGCTTCTTTAAGTTATGATTTTAAGTTTAACACACTCCTCTAGATGCTGAGAAACTTATACATTCATTAGTGTTTTTAAAACGTTTTGTAAAATACCACAGAATCCATGTAATCTTTGCGTAAAATCGGCTTTTCTCTCTGTGGAGACATGAGGTCTTCAACTGACAGCAATAAAACATGAAGGGTTTCATTCCAAAACACTGTAGTGTATATTCATAATAATATAGACATTAAAAACTGTAATATGAATCTTATCACTCAAAAATAATTCAATCAATACATTGTTAGTATACAATAGTTGAAGATATGGATGTAAAGTCTTAGGTTTTTATTTAAAAAAGAGGTTATTCTTAATTATCTAAGATTAGGTATATATTTTTTAGACATTTTATCCTGGAACAAAACTCTTCAAAACCCGTAAGAGAACATGAAAATAAAAGCAAGTTTTGCCAAAGACTCAAAGAGTGAGAGTGATGGTGGAGGATGATGTGGATCTGTCTCACACCTCCCACTCCCGACACACTCTGTTCATTGTGTGGACGACCTCTGAGAAATCACACATCTCAGAGAAGAGAAGTTCTTCCTTAAAAAAAACCATGTTGAATCTCAGTAGTAACTGGTCGCAGCTGGATGATGAGCTGCGGTTCGTTTAGTGAACGACAAGATGCAGGGAAATTTATGTCACGATAAAAAGCCCCAAACACTGGAGCACATTCTGCTGCCGGGTCTCAAACTCTGCAGAAATAAAAACTTGGCTTCTCTCTTTTCAAAGCTTCGACAACATCAGTCGCTGGGACGCGTGAGTTGGGAGAGAACTGACTTTCCAACGAGGAGGGGGGGGGGGGGTTACACAATAGCTCCATTGACTCGGTTTGACCTCCCCCAGCCCAGCACTAGTTAACGTTAAAAAAAAGTCTTCCAAAAAATGCTGTTGATTATTAACTGGGATGCCAGTGTGCTCTCGCTGAGTGGAATTTGAGCCATGCATTGATTATCCCAATCGAGCAGAGAGACTTTTGGGATAGAGAGGAAAGCCAGTGGGAGAGAGAGCGGCAGCTAGAAGAGTCGGGAGCCATAACAAACGTTTGACAGGCGTTTATCTAACAACAGCGCAAGATTCACGCTCGGCTACACTCGGGCCCCCCCCCTCAGGTAGGATGCGAAGCTGTACACACGAGCATTCGTTGACAAGATGAAGGTGAAGAAGTCAAGGAACCATGTTGACCGACAACCAGAGATTTTACTCAAATACTTATTCGATGAGAACAACAGCACCGGGTCGTCATCGGTCCCAAATCTTTTGCCTCTTTCGACAAAAAGTCAAATATGATCTAATATTCACTTGAATTCTGTTTCTCACTTTATCGTTTCCTCTTCCTCGGTTTCTTCTGTGGCAGTGAGATTATGTCCACACTGACAACGGTGACCCAGTTGTATCTTATATAAGTTTGTGTGCCATCAAAATGATAATGAATAATAATAATCCTACGGTATAAAGACGATCTAGCGTTGCTTGAAACAACTGGTGGCGCTTATTGAACGCACTTAGTCTCTCACACGTACAGTTTGCCAATCAGAGTTAAAGGCCCCAACGAGCCTTAAGAAAGTAACTTGCTGAACTTGAATGAGTAGTTGGTGATTTGTGGAAATCGCAGCTCTGGTGACAAACAAAAAGGAATTCTTCACTTCTTTTCGGAATATTTAACAACAGCTCATATGAATTCTTGCACAGTGACTGAACTCCAAAACTAAAAAAGCTCATTGTGATAACCCAAGCTTCAGGGGCGGGGGGGAACATTCACTATCCTAACATGTCCTGAATAATGCATCATTAAAAAAAATAAAAAAAAGAAGAATCTTCTGAGATTTGTGCAGTTTAAAATTCTGCAAGTACCTCATATCTCATCTGCCGTACCACAAAGAAGCTGCAGCCACAGACACTAACAACCACATACATCAGTGCAGCACAATGCCTCTGTCTTCTGCATACAGGAAGCCTTTCTTTCTGGGAGCATATCTACTGGCCAGATGGGCTGCAGGGCCTTCTCTGGCCAAAACAAAATGGCTTTGAGTGTACTGAAGACCCCCATCAGGTCTGGGAGACAGTGACCAGAATACTAAACGGAATCCTGAGTGCACACCATGGCTCAATTTGTGAAAGGGTTCTATATGTTTTTTCCGTGTTTAGCTGAACTGGAGCAAATCATGACACGGGAGGGAAACGAGGGAAATATTAAAAATGCTCCACATGTAGAAAACATCCACAGACAAGTAAAAAAAAACGAAAAAAAACAAAAAACGAATTGAGCATTTGTGAATCCAGTCACATATTGGATTCTGTGATGATCAGACTCTTCTTGTACCGTGTTGGGTCTCCACTAGTGTGAACTGTTTTGCTTCTCAAGTACTGGGTTATTTACAGAGGCCAAGTAAACTTCTTTTTGACACTCAACAGATTGCTGAGAGGAAGACAGTAATACAAATGATGCCACGAACACCAGATTAATTCCACACAGTGTCGAGGCACAATGTGCCACAACTGGTTGATTTGGTGACATTTGCCAAATATCCTCACCTGGTTTGGATCTTCAGAGGATTCAGCTCCATGTGCTCGTTCCTAGCATCACACACACACGCATCCATCTTCCCTTTCTCTCACTCATCTGTTACCTCAGTAGAACTTAATCTGACTCCTCTTGAGTTCATCGCATTACTTCTGTTCCCTCTCTTCAAGTATGTCCGCTCCAGGTGTCCGCTAGTCCCAGATACTCTGGATTCTCTGCAGTGGGGGTCACAAACCCGTTCACGTGCCTGGGCACTCCTCCCGCACCGTCCCCTGCCCCAGCTACAGCGTTGGCTTTGGCCACAAGGTCCAGATAGTACGGGTTGTCAAAGGCCGGAGAAGCTGAGACCCCGCTGCTTGCAGGGACCAAGTATCCTGGGTTTTCCACGCTGTGACCGGAGTTCAGGCCGTTGGGGAGGCGTCGCTCTACTCTGGAGCCTTTACGAGGCAGCGTGGTGGGACGCTCTGGGATTCCCGGTCTTAAATCCATAACCTCCTGGTTTACGTACTCTGGTCAGACAAGCGGAGAAACATCAGAATAGAAGATTCACAGATAGGATTTTCAGTTCAGGGACTATCATACAGAAGCTAAACAATTCTTTTATAGTAATCAGCCGCTCACCTGGCACGGTTTGATTATGATTGATTCCATGACCACGTCTGGGCAGCGAGTGATGAAACTGATTGGGATGATGAAAGCCGTTCGGCCCATCTGTCTCCAGCTCGTCTTGGCTCCCGCAGGGGTACGTGGGGTCTTTGCAGTAGCGTCCAGGGCTGGCTGGGAGCAGTGAGGGGTCATCAGGCCCCCCGTCGATGAAGACAGAGTCAGACTGGCCACTGGCAGAGGGTCTGCGAGCCAGCGTCGGGTACTGAGGAGTCCACATGCCGTTGGAGGTGCTGGCACCTAATGGTAGGATGGGGTACTGGCAGCGGCCGAGAGTGCTCAGGGAGGAGTACATGCTCCGAGAGGCGCCTGCGATGGACTGATCAACATCTAATCCCTGATCTCTGCTCTGCAAGTGAGAAAAAGACGGAAGATTCATGATGGATGAAAAACAGACACGGTAGTGGTGAGTCCTGATTTTTTACACTGCACATCTGTCTGTCGGGGAAAAGAAGCAATAACCATGTGTTGCGATGGAGTAAAACAAACTGCTGCACCATCCCTGTCATCCCCCACTTACCCTGTATGACTGGTGTCTGGATGGCCCGTTGGACTGAACCCCGTCTCCCGGAATCCTGGGGAAGAGGTTCGGCTGAGGCACCAGATACTCCTCAGCATCCAGCAGCTCCCTTATGTTGTTCCCTTCCTCCTCCATGAGCGTCCGGAAGAACTGGCTGTCCACAGGGCTGGACATGCTCATCTGCTCATCGTTCTGCAAGACACAACATGGATGTAAAAACTGCGTATAAAAGAACGCAACACAGTGACAGAAGATTTCAACTGATATCAAGATACGCTGGACATGTAAATGACATCAGAACAAACAGACAAACACAGGAGTGAAACATTTGCAGCGTGAAACCAACGTACCTGAATGACGACGTAACGAGGAGGATCTCTGGCCATGACGCTGAAATCGTTCACCAGATTTTTGAACTTCGGTCTGCTCTCTGGATCAATCATCCAACCTGCCGTTCAAACACACCATCACAATGTCATTAGTGTTAGAACTACAACTACTAGTGACCTGCTTCATAATGGACAATTTAATACATCAGAGCTATTTTTTTATTATACCCAAACTATTTATCTTACAAAGTTCAACTAAAAGGTTCAGGAACATTAACTCCTCTGCTCTGACCAAACAGAAAAACGAGTTAATGTAGTGTGTGCATATTTACCAGACCAGTAAAATATTGAATTGCTTAAAACCCTGAGACACAAACTGAATGTATGACGCTGCTGTGAGAACAACAACCACTGACATTTGACCATGATCATGTAGACGTCAATGGTGCAGATGGGCGGCTGGGGAAGTCGTTCTCCTCCCTCTAACACATCTGGGATGTCCCTCGCTGGGATCATGTCGTACGGTTTAGCACCATACGTCATCAGCTCCCAAACGGTCACTCCTGAGCAGGAAGAAGTCCAAAATAACACACCCACCAAAACGTTAGCTAACACTTAAAAAATGCATTATGAAAACTTGCAAAATAGGAATATTTAGTTGCATTGTTCTCCAAAGAAAGTAATTCAATCTGCAGCCGCACCAAACAACAACTCAAAAACTAAAGGAAATGCCTCGTAAGTGTTTTTCAACACTACATCACTGACCGTAGCTCCAGACGTCGCTCTGATGAGTGAACTTCCTGTGCAGAATAGACTCCAGAGCCATCCATTTAATCGGAACCTAAAAACAAAGATACACCAGTTCTTACAAAATCAGAATGCACCTCGGTGTTGATGCTCTTACAGCCACAGTCGTTATCTTACTTTCCCTCCATCCGCGTGATACTCTGTCTCGTCTATGTCGAGCAGGCGGGCGAGGCCGAAGTCTGTGATCTTCACGTGGTTTGGGTTTTTCACCAGAACGTTGCGGGCGGCCAGATCTCTGTGGACCAGCCGGACCTCCTCCAGGTAGCTCATGCCCTACACACACACGCACACAGATCCATCACCCACAAATCCATGTGTCCACAAATATACAAACTGATACCACATCAAATTTCAAAAGAAAAATAACAACATTTAGACACTTAAATAAACCTTCACTTGTACTATTATAAGCCCTAATATGAGTCTGTGCATCTAAACTAAAGACTGTATGTAAAGATGGACGACATGACGGCTCCCTAAAATGTGAAGCTAGAGCGTCTCCATTGCCCCCTGGTGGCTGGCAGCAGTAAAGTTAATTAAATCCCACCTCCTCCTTGTTAGCGAGTTGGACATGGACCAAACTAAAAAGTCAAAATACACGTCAAATACATTTTTCTTAAAGATCAAAGTTAGTTCTTATCACAACGATGTTTGTTAAAGTGTTCATGTTCCTGGTACGTTTGTTTTTTTTTGATGCTATAAAAATGTGTCGTCCATCTTTACATACAGTCTAAACCAACAGAGAGATATTGTGTTTCGTGCCGAGGTACCTTGGCGATCTGCACACACCAGTTGAGGAGGAACTGGGAGCCGATGTGGTCCTTGTTCTCCCTGACGTAGTCAAGAAGACAGCCGTACGGCATCAGCTGAGTGACCAGCTGCACGGTGGAGGTCAAACAGATTCCCAGCAGACGGCACACATAAGGGCTGGCCACCCCCGCCATCACGTAAGCCTCCTGGGAGAAGACAGACGATGGATGTTGAGGTGGTTGTGAACTGTATTTACGTGAACTGTCAGTGTTTACATGTGTATGTGGGTTATACTTACATCAAGGATTTCTTTATTGGCCTTTGGCGAGGTGTTCTCTCGTAATACTTTGATAGCCACTGGTATTTTCACGTTCTCCCCGTCAGGAGCCCACACTCCCTGAAACAGTTATCAAGACTTTAAACAATCTCATAAAATATAAAAAAAACACTAAGGATGTACGTGTGCATCAGTGAGTTTTGTGGATTCTGCAGAAGAACTGGATCCCAGACCTTGTAAACGGTACCAAAGGCCCCTGCACCCAGCACCCTGAGTTTCTTCAACTCCGTCTCCTTCAGGATACGCATCTGAGCCTGATTGGGTGACGCACCACTGGGTGTCAGAGGCTCTACCAGCTGTACACGTGGAGAAAGCAGACAACAGATTCCTTCATCACACACACTTCAGTAATTCCCATGGAAGCTGATACACGTCTAAAAACAATAACACAGCTTAAATCATCAATATTGGTGAGCCATGCCCACCTCATGTTCTTGCAGGATCCTCCTCATGGTCTCCTTCCTCTTCAGCTTCTTCTGCCTCCTCAGGTAGAAAACCAGCAGAGCAAGCAAGATGAAGAAGAGCACCACCCCGCCCACTGCAGCCGCGATGGTTGTACCCGGCCTAAACAGAGAAACAGTTCAACACAGCTCCCATTCCTCTGAAGAAGCAGTGAGTAAATTCTGTAGAAAGTGGGTGGAGTGCTGGAGAACTAGAAATACTGCACTGCAGTTGTATGCCTCCACAAACAGTCAACATAAGCTTTTCAAGACTCATGAGGCCACTGTGAACTTTGAGCACTAAAATCGAATCAAATAATCTGAGTCTAATTGAAAATTTGTGCCAAATTTGAAAGGATTCTCTTCAGGCCTTCTTTAAACAACGTGTTGACGAGGCAATAAAGGGTTTTATGAGCTCACAGCAGCCTTGACCTCCAAAATCAGTTCAACTTTGACTTCAAGTGAATGTTTGAACCCAATTGGAAGAAATTTGACCAAAAACGTGTTTCATCACGTCACAGTGACCTTGGCCTTTGAGCTTCAACCAGCAAATTCAAATCAATTCATGCCTGAGTTCAGGTGAACGTTTATAACAAATTTGGCCTTAGCTTGAACTCTTTCCTGTGTCTGATCAATGCTCGTGTGCTGTGTTCAACAATAACTCCTCATGTAGAAATAGTTGTGCTCCCATAAGAGGAACTGTCTGGCGACGATTTAAAACTAGACAGATACCTTTTTTTCATATTTACCTTTAAAGGTCCAGTGTGTAAGATTTAGGTGAAAGGGATCTTTAGTGTAGAATAATCCTCATGATGTTTTCACTAGTTCGTTTCATCTAAATTGTATGAATTGTAGTTTTCTTTACCCCAGAAAAGGTCTTTTATATTTAAATACTTTATATTTAAATCGAGGGGACCCTCTCTGCGGAGGCCGCCATGTTTTTCACATCAGTCCAGACTCGACACACTAAACACCTTTTGAGTTTTTATGACAAATGAAGCTGCCACAGGTTCTTTTTCATGTTTGTTCATTATTTAATATCTCAAGATAAATTTCCACCACGGTGTTCACAAGGAAAACAAATTTTATTTGTTGTGGCACAGCGACCTTGACCGTTGTCAGTGATAGTGACACTCTCTTACCCTGTCCTGTTATCGACAGGGCAGCCTCTGTCGTCCATCACAGTGCAGCTGAAACAGAAAAACATGAGGTCAGTTTGTTCTCATTGTGCGTGCAGCGTGTTCTTATAGCTCTGCGTTGGAGGCGTGCGTCCACTCACGACAGCGAGCAGTTGGTGTTACAGGGAAGACAGTGTCCGGTCGCATTCCTGTACTTCCACAATGTTTGCTGGTCCTCCTTCACACCTCTGGGACAGTGCTCCACACAAGACTCCCCGTCCTGGGAGTTTTGACACTCTGTGCAATGATTTGCACCCTGAACACACGGAGAGAAATATTGTAATATATTGAGTCGAGCCAACAACCAGTGTTGTCAACACATTTGGATCGGACTTGACGTGTGGGGCTAACGTCTGACATGCAGCTGGTTGTTCAGATGAGGCCTCTGTCAGATCATATTTAGAAATGAAATCCACCATAATCACACTGTGACATATCTCACCGGTCCATGACAGGAGGCGGAGCCGTTCAGAGGTCGGCACTCTTTGTGACAGGCAACACACAAAGATCCGTCTTCGTATTCACGTGTGTCCCTGCAACGAGCACAAAGGGGATTTAACACTACAGTTATAGTCTATGTGCATCTGACACGAGGGACTATGTGTTTAGAAAGTTCTTAGGTTGAACAAACAAGAAATATTTCATCATGTTTAAGACTTTGTGTGTGGTTCATCACTGGAAACCTTTGACCTTCTTGTTTATGAACTTTAAATCTGTGACAACTTGTCCCAATATTTTCATCACAATTATTCGCTTCGTCAACGATGTACATTTGCTTAAGGGCACAATCTGAGTTAAAAGCTTTCAGATTGATTTATCGTGACTACTTTAGCAAAACTGTCAACCGCACATAACTCAGTCACATCTTTGCTATCGGCAAATCCATCGTTAGTTTGACGTTAGTTACCGGAGAACTTGTTTGCTGATTATGACCCAGCATACTGAACTCCAGAGAACATTATCACCTGGCTTTTTATTTATGTAGTGCAGCCACACCCACAGAAACAAACACACATACACACTTTCTTACCCCTGATAGATGTCACACTGCTCTAGACACTCTGTGCCACGTCGCAAAGCTTTGCAGGACACACACTGACTGGGCCCCGGACCCCAACAGCCCCCCTCACACAGCGGGTGACAAATGTGTCCCTCTGCCTCTGAAAACACAGAGACAGCAGAACATGATGGATTTCTATTGGAACAATAAATGGGAGTGATTATTGTATCTGGCCAAAGAGGAATTACTGTATGTGGCGTTACGTACCGCAGACTTCTGCGTCCTGGTTGCGGCTGACGATGCGGTGGGGTCCCTGGGTGGGATGCAGGAGAGTCCCCCAGGGCAGTGAATTGGTGTAGCACAGCTTGGAATTGTTGTGCAACAGCACCAAACCTCCACTGACGCTGCGTAGTGAACGCAACCCAAGAGACTCGATGTGTAGATTTTGGATGGCGAGGGAAAACACCCCCCTAATGAATAGGAAAAGAAGCAGTGTTGGGTCATTTCAAGTCAAACATTATGAATCATTTCTGCAAGATGTTTATTAACATTTTCATTGATTTTCAAAGAATAATTAATGGATCTTTAAGGAAAAACAATCAGGCCCATTTGGTTTAAATGAACCAAAATATATACAAGTTTAGTACAAGATCCTGGAAAAACTGCATTCATCATACTCTCCTGTCACATTTAGACAAACTATACGTGAGTGTTAAAAAGATCATACAAGACTGAATCTTGGACACAAGACATTTGAGAAAATCTGGAGACAGGATAAAGGAGCAGAGTGAAAAAAACACCTGGGTAAAAACTTCACAGTCATGAATCATGATTTTAAAACAACAAGACAAATACTTTAAAGACAGCAGAAACTTAACAAGACTGCTTTTATGACCAAATACCAGCTTATAAAATCAAACAGTTTCAGATCTTACACTTTAGACTACGACCTAGTTTTGAGCACGCTTGTTCTTCCTGGTTGATGTGGGCTGCGGGTTAAATCAACAGCGCTGGCTAATAATTAGCCTTTATGACATTGAAAGTGAACAAACTGGAACCAACCACACAACTCAGACACGGAGTCAGTGGATAAACATCAACACGGAAAGAACATTTGTCTACTCTTCCTTGACACAAACATTATCATGCAGGAAGCTACAATAACAATGAAACCCAATCCAGTCTTGTATGAGGAGTATATAATCGTATATATTTTTCTAATCGATGAAAGATGGGTGAGTATTATGACACACAGGTAAGGCGAGCAGTTTAAAAGTCTTACTTGTAGAGCATCCTGCCTCGGATCACCTTCAGGTTCTCAAACACGCTCAGGTCCGTCCACTCCTCAGGCCAAGCGTCTATGTACAAGTAACCTGCACAACAAAATCAGACAAAGATACTAAACACTGTAGTACACTGGGTATAACGGGCATCTATTTAGTGTTTAAAATACTTTAAACACTGTCCAGTACCTGTTATCTCCTCCAGTTGCTTGAAGGAGCTCAACTGCTGCAGAGTCAGACCTGACGTGTTGGTCGCAGGGTCCCTGGACAATGACCATATAAAACTTGAGTTAAACTTCAATTTGATTTGAATGTTGTGGTTACATTTTCAAATGCTTATATTTTATATACTTTTTTGATGTCTTGACTCAGAATTCATCATCAACGACTAAAACCATGTCTACATGGAAGTAAACAGAGCCTGCACACATCCAAACTTTCTTTGTTACATCCCAGGAAAATACTTGAAGGTACATCATTTTACTCTTTACTGTCAAACTGTTGTTTCATAATAATCTCATCTACGTTTGAGTTAAATCTCACTTAAATGAGATTGTCTTAATGATAAGAAAAAGAAATCCAGTCCAATCTTTGTGGGCTAAAAATGTACAAAAAGTTTTATACTTGGCCGATGCATCTCTTACCTTGCAAAGCTCTGAGCGAAGAAGGCTAGACTGCCAAAAATCTTCTTGCACGTGTTGAAGTAATCCACATTAGACGATGTTACCATGGTAATGCTGCTGTTGTCCATGACGCCTTGGTTGTCCGTACCCAGGCCATAACATGCTGCAAATCAAACCAGGGTAGCACATTAATCATAAATCCAGATAATAACCTGAGCTGGGAACGTCCAAGATGACAGGACCAACATATACTTCCATATAAACCTGGATATTATCAGCATAGAATGGAATACAAGCTGTGTTTCGGTTAGGAGGCCGCATTTGAAGACAGATTGCGTCACAGCGGTGCGACTAGACTGAACCAATTCAAAGGCTCAGACAAATGTGTCCTTCCACTGCCAGCCCGACATATCCCATGATTCATTGTGCTTCTGTGACAAACTTTTTTTCGAAGAGGTAACGGCGGCACAAAGCGAGGCAAGAATTTATTTTTAAAGTTAATTCTCAACTGAATAGCTAGCTAAGCTAGCTAACATGTTTTCAATAGTTTTGATGAGCCAAAGAACAACGTCTGCAGAATAAACCGGGTCCGCCGGAGGATGCAGCCCCTGAAGTGAGACACAGCTACAGTAAAAACAAGTGTGACAAAGAGCATTTGAACCCAAGTCACAACAAGGTTATGCAGGAACAGGTTGGTTCACTTTGCACCATTGTCGTCAGCGCGCGATGCATCTGAACATCAGTACATGCAGCACAAATCATTATCATCGCCACTGAAGCACCAGGTCATGCACACAAAGAATCTATAACATTATCAGAGCCGCATAACGTGAAACAGTTTGTCTTCTGTTGGACTCCTGGATGAGCCGTACCTTTGGGACAGTCCCCTTCACACGTTTCACATTTCTGCGTCTCGTTTCCATCAGGGAGGGTGATGATAACTTCCTTGTTGGCTTTGGGACAAACCAAAGTACAGGCCACATCCATAGACAGATAATTATCTAGAGACAGGAGGGAAGCAGAACTTTGATTCAATTTTTTTTAATTCCTAGAGGGAAGTTTGTGTAAATCTTGAGAAGGAACACAAAAAATAATTATAGCATCTATTAGCACCAAGATGGAGAAGAAGAACAAGAAACACTTCAAAACAAATTCTCACAAGGACACGTCTTGATGCAGGTGGCTCCAAAGTTGAACTTTTTGTCTGGGTTGGGTTTGGACTGATAGGTGATGGGGTCGTAGATCGTAGGTGGAGGACAGTTCCCCTTACACACACCACTGTCGTTTAAGTGACGGCACGCCTGGAGAGAGGAGGGAACACGTTACTCCAGAAATGACAAAGGACTGTGACAGCACAGCATGCTTGTGTGCATGTGTGTGTATAAGTGTGTGTTCTACCAGGCAGTCTGAGTCTTTGGGTCCAGTGCATCCAGCAGCACACTGCATGTGACAGCAGTCGTTGGGCAGAGGACCTTTGCACCGCTGACAGCCAGATGCACAATCAATACGAGTCACTTTGAATAAAAAAGGAGAAGGTTTTTCTGCTGTGATTCACAGACACTGAACTTCTTCCAATGTAAAACCAAACAGCGTCACGTTCATGCTGTGCACATTGTTTTAACTCACAGACTTGGCAGTCCTGTGGAGTTTCTCCCCAGCAGCTGTTCTTACATAAAGAGGAACAATCTGGACCTGCACCAGGAGAAATAAAAACAAATACGGAGGGTGACGCAATTTACAATTTAACAAGAAAATACAAGATGAAGGGGCCAACTGAGAATCTGAAATACTTCATTAATATGAGCTCAAAGCCCTGATATGCTTCATCTAAAGCTCTGAGGTGCCCTGCGTGCTGTTGTTTCATCATTTACTGTAGCACAGTGGACAGCTGCTCTTCCTGTAGTACCCTGTGAGATGTTCATAATTTCAATCGGTCAATCGTCTGCTCACATTTAGAGGCTCGAGGCTGCAGTTGGTGCTGCCTGACGTGATGGGTCTGCTCTTCCAGGGTGTCCCTCCAAATTATGTTCTGGGGATCTGGGAAGCACAGTTGAGGGTTCCCCCAAATGTACACGCCACCCAACAGGATCTCTGCAGGGGACACAAAGAACAAGATATACACAAAGGCCCCTTCAACTCAGGTCACACTGGTTTTGGGCATGAACTCGAAGCTCTGCTATGATATTATCTTAATTATCCGACCTGTGAGGCTACGAAGCCGCAGAGTCCTGAGCCCCTGTCCGTTCAGAGTGTTATCCAGCACGGCCAAGGCGTAGCTGGAGTTGTACTTCTGGCTGCCTCGGATGATCCGCAGGTTGTCCAAAGGCACCAGATCCACTGACACGTGGGCTACGAGTACATAACCCTGCACCTCCACGATCCCCTGAAGAAGAGAGGTGAGGAGACAAAAAGGATCAAGTGATGTAGCAGAAAGAGGTAGATTAAGTGAAAGCACCATGAAGAACAACACTATACCTGAAGGAAGGAGAGGTCGGGTTTCCCATGCAGGTGTGTAATCTCCAGGTTGCCGTGGACGACCTGGCAGCCAGTGTAGAGCAGCCTCAGGGTCTCGTAGTGGTTTTCCAGGCTCGAGGGCAGGGTCAGCTTCATATCTGTACCCAGGCATACTGCAACACACACATGACCCCAGCTACATATAAGTGCACACATATGTGTCAATACAGTCAAACTTAAAAAGGTCTGTCCAGGGGTGTTTCTGGATCAACTAACGACAGTGAACAGTAACATCTTTATGAACAATAGCCCGAGCGCACAGAAACTGCAGGAGGAAAGATTTTTTATTCTGTAATGGCGAGATGGGTGGTTAGGCTCGGGGGAGTGATCTCAGAGCGCCCTTCTACTTTGCTGTTCTCCTTCATTTCAAATTGACTGAAAATAAATAGCTTTGGGTTTTGGGCTGTAAAGGAACTTGAAGAGGCCAAATGACTGTAAAGATTTGGACTCTACATATTTTGATGTAGTTTACAAGCTGCCTTGAACGTGTTCTTTGAAATACAAACCACATGCACTGCCTCTGTCTGTCTCTTAGCATGTACGATATATTTTTCCACTGGCAGCAGAGAGCACAGATTACCCGCAGCGGGTCACACACAGAATTACTCTCAGGGTCACGCAGCATTACTATTCACAGGGGGGGGGGCTCTCTCGCAGACACATAGCTCCCATGCTTTAGCAAGCAGTCACACAGTGGATGGTCCCTCCTCTGCTGAGGTTATAAATGACTTCCTCTGGTTTCCTTCCAACAGTCAATAGTCAACCCCCACATCTCCTGATTGAACCCCCCGCTCCTCCCTGTGTTATCGCTCCATAAATCATCCGAGGAACAGGAAGTGGAGGAAGAGGCTTTTCACCTAACGCTGAACTTCAGGCGTGTTCTTGTCAAGTATGCGTGTGTCCGTCCTGTGTAAAGTTTCCTGGTGATTGCGGAGCACGCCGGACTCCACCCCTTTTACAGCCCCTGAGTTATTGGGTCATAAAGTGTAAATAAGATCTGTATTAAAATCTGACATTGAGCTACTGCGGCAAATGGCTCCGTGATTAATGGTGCGCTCGCTGCCAAAAATACACACCCCGTCGTTGCAGCTTGTGTCAAATATCAAATCAAATGACTAATCACTGCCTTCTTCAGCGATGTCATCATGGAAAATTGTTTTATAGTAAAGCCGAGTGGGAAAGCAGGATTTTATCATCGAGCACATAAATAATTTTTACTAAGACAGAATATCGCAAAACCCAAACAGAAGCCGGCTTCCTGAAAATCCAACAAACCACCACACACAAACACGCACAGACATCTCCAGTACTGGGGATTAGGTAAATGTGCCGTAACAGAAAGCACAACAGAGCAGATTTTCCATTTCTAAAAGTGTGTGTAAAGCCAGTTCTCAGCTTCCTCTCCTTTAATTCTCTTATTGTTTGCTCTCCGAAAGTCTCTCAGCAACGGCAGAGTGTGTGAGTGAGTGTGTGTGTGTGTGTGTGTGGCCTTGTGAGGAGCTGCCCACCCCTCCATCCCCACGGCCTAAAATACTCTCTCTTTTATCACTTACTTTGCTCTCTCTGCCCGCTGTCGTGTCACTGTCCCTGAACTCACATGGTTCTATCACCTGGTTTAGAGCCAAGATATCTCAACATTCCCCCTTTATTCACCCATTCTGTCAGTTTCCTCAGTCTGTGAGCTGTTGCCCAACTCTTTTTAGACTCTGCAAAATGTCATTTCACAGGAATGCGTGTCTTCGCATATCTCGATGATGACACACATGTACGTTTTTCACCGGTGAGCAAGGAGAGGGGCCGAGAGGAACCAAGCTGCTTAGTTCAGTGTCTCGTTCCATCTAAAAACTGATCTGACACCAGTGCATTATAGTATAGTATGAATACACAACACCCTTCAAAACTCAAGTCTTCAATGCGGTACCCGTCGCTGGTTTGATTCTGGAACTTTCCAGAATAAAATATGACGAAATTGCTGATATCTTAGCTAACTCTAGGCTAACGCTACACTAGCACAAATCATCGTCTTCCAGTGGCAGTACTGTGCAACTGCTGTTTTGAAGCAGGGAATAAGACCTGACTTTCCACAAGAGAAAAATTGCAGGTCATCTGGGTCAACATAATTTAATTATAAAGACGTGGCATCGGATCAGTATGTAGATTTGCGTACTGCAGATGCAGTATTGGAGGCATTTCCGTTTGTTGGTATCTGTATTGGAACATCTCTAGGAGAGAGTTAGAGAAGGAAAAAGGGAGGCGTTTTCTTTCCTCCATCATTCTACATAGAAACTATTTCTGTAACTTTTGTATTTGTGTAACAATATGAATGCCTTCAAGGACAGATTATCTGAAGGTGTATGCAGATATACCCCTGCTGAAACGATTAACATGTCACACCCGTCTCTTTGAAGCAGATGGGCCCCTTTTCGAGTGCAGCCAGTCAGAACAGTCAGAACAAACTAGTTCTTTTACTCTTGACTTACTTCCTACTTCCAACTTACTTCTCTGGAACAGTAGTTCAACATTCTATTGCTACGTCTTCTGGCTGATGCATCCAGTTAGCATGCATCAGACACCTCATCTGGTAAATATCAGCTGATGAGAAGTAAGTGAACAGAAAGTCTCTGTTTCAACACAACGTTAAAGCAGGGAACTCCTAGCTGCTGGGGAAGGAGTGCCACTGTTGACTAACTGAGTGATTTCAAATGTACTGTAAAGCTGCAGGACTTACAACAAGTGAATCATTTATCCGTTCATAGGAGTAATTTTTATAATACCAGCTCGTTTGGAAACTAGAGCTGTGATAAGTGATCCCTGCATTTAAAAAGAGAGCAGGATTAATCAGACATGTAAATAAAATTAATTAATTGAAAGCACAGGCTCCTTGCACTTTCCCTCCCCTGATTGTCGGAGTTAACTGCTTGAAGCCCTTTGCTCCCTGTTTATGATGTTGGGGACATGACCTGTTTTCATCATCACAGAATGTTACTTAATGAACAGTAACTGATTTGATCTTAATCAGTGGAGGACAGGATGTGTTGACTGTAAGACGACTGGGACTTCCTGTACGTGGCGTGATACTCTAGGCCGACTGGAAAACTAAAAACCATCTTGAAGCCACACCTGCGTGTGGCAGCGTGCCAGCTAGCAGAGGGAGTGTGTGCATGTGTGTTTACCAGTGAGAGCACGGTAACAAACATGAGGGCAGGGATGCTGCTGCAGGACTGAAACTAGAAGTTAAGCAGAACAACACAGTCAATAAGATCGTCCGGCCTCTGCTCTCCTCTAATGGATCAGATCCCTTCAAATCTCAGAACAAACAGAAGAAGCAGATCCAACAGGATACTCTTTCAGTTTATTAGCTCTCAGATTTAACATGTCCGTCCTGGTTCTAATGCAGCGCTAATCCCCGCAGTGTGTCTTGAATAAACTTCAAATTTCTCCCACCCTCCCTGAACGCATTCTTTCTTCTCTTCCACTGTACGGCCGAGTAAAAGAAAACAGGTATTGCTCAACAGACAAGCAGAACAGGATCTGTGCTGTTCTGGGGCTGTAGACCTGAATTGCTCATTCAGTCACCCTGTCATGAACAGACGACAACAGCTTTCACGTCACAGCTCTCCTGCATTCTTAGACTACTGCAGTTTAAAAGCCTCCGAGCTCAGAAAGTGCAGATGAATTTATAAAATGATTCTATTCATGTCTCAGAACTAGATGCAAAAAAGCAGAGTTGGAAAAAGTGTGGGAGTTGATGCTCATCACACTTGTCTGTATCATCTGAAATAGTAATTTCATGTCCAAACCAAGGACGTCACAATTACACGGTCAGTGTCTTAAATTACAAGATGTATTTCTATTTCAGAATATTGAATGAATTTAGAATGAAATAAAAATCGCTAAATAAATAGTTGTTTTCCTGTAATGAGGAATTGAAAACTGTGATTTCTTCTACAGATCTGTGTCAGAGGAGACACAAGAAAGTGTTGAATGTCTCCTCTGAGGCTGGATGAGGCCCACGAGCCCCTTCCTCAGCTCAGAGAGTTAGCTCACTAACACGCAGGCCAGACTGTGACTCACGGCTGGCTGAGTTAACCTGGCACTGAGGCCAATTCAGTAGAGCTTAATCACTTCACCGTGGGTTCAACTCAATGGGTGAAGTGGAGAGTGACAAGGACATGAACTCTGTGGACAACACACACACACACACACACACACACACACACACACACACACATTATGCTAAAATAATATTCTGACCGCTAAGGACAGAACAGTGACACAAGCACTGACCTTTACAGTTATACACTTGTTGGCCACAATGTTTGTGTGTCTGTGTGTGTGTGTGTGTGTGTGTGTGTGTGTGTGTGTGTGTGTGTGTGTGTGTGTGTGTGTGTGTGTGTGCGTCAGTGACATAACACTATTTAATAACCAAAAGTAAGACTGGATTAATGACCAATCAGAGCGCTCACACTGAACAGATCAACACCGTGGAGGAAA